TCCTTTCCTCTTCTTTTACACCCACCCCTTCAACCCTTTTCCTCCACTCACCAACAACTACTCCTTCCACCACCCACCCCCGTCGGTTCACTGTCCGCGCTGCACGTGGCAAATTCGAGCGTAAAAAACCCCACGTCAACATTGGTACAATTGGCCACGTTGACCATGGAAAGACCACACTCACAGCTGCTTTGACCATGGCGCTTGCCTCTATGGGCAACTCCGCCCCCAAGAAATATGACGAAATTGATGCTGCCCCTGAAGAAAGGGCGCGTGGTATTACTATCAACACTGCCACTGTGGAATATGAAACGGAAAACAGACATTATGCCCACGTGGACTGCCCGGGGCATGCTGATTATGTCAAGAACATGATTACTGGTGCTGCCCAAATGGATGGGGCAATTCTTGTTGTGTCAGGTGCTGATGGCCCAATGCCACAGACTAAAGAGCATATTTTGTTAGCTAAGCAAGTTGGGGTCCCTAATATGGTTGTTTTCTTGAACAAACAAGACCAAGTTGATGATGAGGAGTTACTTGAGCTTGTTGAGTTGGAGGTAAGAGAATTATTGTCAAGTTATGAGTTCCCTGGTGATGAAATTCCTATTATTTCTGGTTCTGCACTTTTAGCTTTAGAGGCTTTGATGGCTAATCCTAGTATTAAAAGGGGTGAAAATCAATGGGTTGATAAGATTTATCAATTGATGGATAATGTTGATGAATATATCCCTATCCCACAAAGACAAACTGAATTGCCTTTCTTGATGGCTATTGAGGATGTTTTCTCGATCACCGGTAGAGGTACTGTGGCGACGGGGAGAGTAGAGAGAGGGACTGTTAAGGTTGGGGAAATTGTTGATATAGTTGGATTGAAGGATACTAGGAATACTACAGTGACAGGGGTTGAGATGTTTCAGAAGATTTTGGATGAAGCGATGGCGGGAGATAATGTGGGATTGTTGTTGAGAGGTATTCAGAAGATTGATATTCAGAGAGGGATGGTGTTGGCGAAGCCCGGAACAATTACTCCGCACACAAAGTTTGAAGCTTTGGTGTATGTGTTGAAGAAGGAAGAGGGAGGAAGGCATTCCCCGTTCTTTGCGGGTTATAGGCCTCAATTTTACATGAGGACAACTGATGTGACTGGAAAGGTTACTGTGATTATGAGTGACAAAGGAGAGGAATCTAAGATGGTCATGCCTGGCGATCGTGTAAACATGGTGGTTGAGCTTATCATGCCGGTTGCATGTGAGCAAGGGATGAGGTTTGCTATCAGGGAAGGAGGAAAGACTGTTGGAGCTGGTGTTATTCAGAAAATCTTAGAATGATGAACTTGCAGCTGAGCATCTCTTTTCACATGATCGGCACTTTCCATTGAAGTTACTTAATCCATTGTCATATATGCAACTTCTTGGTTACTTTTATTATGTCTTAGAATCTTACTTTAGTAGAAGTATCCTGTTTTAAACACCAAATTCTACTGAACTTTTGGGATTTTTCCTCAGTCTCCTCTTTCATTTTTCCTTTGCTTGAAAGGAATGAGAACATTTGATTTCATGCACTTTATTTAATTTAGAACAAATGTGCGACTCTGTTTGAAAATTTAAGTGCAGATTTGCTAATTTGAGATTCACTGCTTCGGCTTTTTGTTTCAGCAAAATGATGCTGATAGAAAAGCACAAAAGAATAAATAATTTGTTTGTAAACTATGGATAATAATTTGTCAGCTGGCCAATGACTGAATTTTTTATGTCCATGTAACTAAAAACTATGGTACTCGAAGCAGATATGTATTTATCTGTATTGTTTAAAATCGACAAGAGGGGTTGCTCTGATGGTAAGCAACCCCCACTTCCAACTAAGAGGCTGTGAGTTCAAGTTTCCCCAAGAGCAAGGTGGGAAGTTCTTGGAGGGAAGGATGCCGAGGGTCTAATTGGAAACAGCCTTTCTACCTCAGGGTAGGGTAAGGTCTGCATACACACTACTCTCCCCAGACCCCACTAAGTGGGATTATACTGGGTTGTTGTTGTTTGTTGTATTGTTTGGTTTACAGTATTTGAGCAGAACATTCAGAGTTAGTTCATCTTAGATTGGAGGACTCACTGACCTTAGAATACAGAAGCAGTGAATAATGTCATGTGTGATGCTGGCATGATGAGAAATGTTGCTTCATTACTAACACGACCATCTCAGATATTACGTTACAATTGTCACATACACTTTGCTTTTGTATCTTTAGAATGGAATGGTCCATTTTCTTATCTTTCGGGTTTGTTCCTCTTATCATGCATTACTGATGCACTCTTTGAATCCAGTGGTTTATTTCTTCTTGGGTGAATGGCACATTTAGCCAACTGGTCAATTTTGACTTCTATGGTTAAGAAGCATGTGTTCCAGAGCTAACATTATTTAGAATGTGTTTGATCATTCCGGATTTGATACTCTGATATGACCTTTCTTCCCAATTGTTGGTGCTTGGTTTTATCATGCAATGTGGTTTTAATTGCTCGTAACTTCACATGAAAAATGAAAAGAAGTTACTCATTTGATCAGTGCAAGTCATGTGCAGTCAGTTCGCCTTACATTGAATACTTACGGGTCGTTTGGTTGGAATACGATTTATACCGGTATAAGTTATGCCAGTATAAGTTATATTGGGATAAGTTCTGCTGGGATTAGTTATGTTGGGATTGTTGTTTATTCATTGTTTGGTATGTTGTACTAAGAATGACAATTGTATAATTTCTAAGAAGAAGGTATAAGTTATACCAGTGCTAATTACCCCACTTTTTATAAGGTATAAGTTATACCAGTGCTAATTACCCCACTTTTTATAAGGTATAAGTTATACCAGTGTTAAAATTAACACCCGGGATAACTTATAACTGGTTTGCTAACCAAACAGAGTATTAAGGTGGTATTAAATTTTTATACCTTCTTATACCTCATACCAAACGACCCCTTAGAGGTATAAGAAGGTATAGTGCTGTATAAAAATTTAATATCATCTTAATACTTCGTTTGGTTAGCAAACCAGGTATAAGTTATCTCAGGATTAAAATTAACATCGGGATAACTTATACCTTATAGAGGGAGGGGTAATTAGCACCGGTATAACTTATATATTCTTCTTACAAATTATGCAATTGTCATATTTAATACAACATACCAAACAATGAATAAAAAATAATTCCAACATAACTAATCACAGCATAATTTATACCAATATAACTTATTCGGCCATAAGCCCCCTTAGTAATCCCCTTGTGCTGAATCAAGCAAAGGATAAATGCATTGCTACAGCGATAGAGCAAGTTTACTTAAAAACGCTTAGTTTGACGAGCATCAATACTAGTAAGTGTCGTTAAATCCGATTTTACTATCCTAGACAAGGAGCTTCTCAAAAATATTAGGTGATTTTTTTTTTAACTATCTAAATCTTGGCGAACAGAGTTACCCAATTTCTTTGTTGGTGGAAGATAGTAGGTACCCCATAGAATTAATCGAGGTCCGCGCAAGTTGGTCTCGACTCTATATCGGTAAAATTTACCTTTTTCGCGTGGCTTGCTAGGAAAATTCCACTTGGCAAGTAAGAATCAGAAATGCAGATATACGAAGGAATTTGCTATCGGGCTCAACTAGGGGTGTACAAAAGAAACTAACAAATCGTACAAATCCGATAATTCGAGTAAAACCGAGAAAAAAAAATCCGATTATGGTTTGGTTTGATTTGGTTTGGTGTTGGAAAAAAAAAACCCGATCATAATTGGTTTGATTTGGTTTTAACTAAAGAAAGTCAAACCGAAACCAAACCAACCCGACATTACATATATAGAAATTTTAGATATATTTAATATATAAATATACTTATTGTGATGTAATTTATAAATATTTCTTAAAAAAAATTCATAATTTTATCTTTTAAGGTATTATTTCAAGGTTGGACTTAGAACTTTTGAATGTTCCAATAAGTTTTATAGTCATTAACATTAGTAAATTAAATAATGCTAACCAAAACCCAAACCAAAATCAAATTAATACTAATGCTAACAAAAGACATTCAATTCAATACTATGAACGAGAATGTATTGAATATTTATTTTTTGTTTTGCAATAAATTAGATAAAAATGCATAACATATTGTTTCTTTTTCTTTAGCGTTTAGTCGTGTAATTGATACTCTCTTAGTAGTCTACTTATTTTAGCATGACTTAGTACTTTTAGATTATATTTATTTTTATTATGAATTTTTAATTAGCAATATTTTTGTATACATAATTTTATTTTCTTTATTGTTGAATATTTTAGGATAATGCCATGACACATCTCATATTTTGTATTATTTTCTCGAAAAATACTTTATATAGTTGTATCTTACTAGGATTAAAGAAATATTTTGAGCACAATTTATATGCTTTGTTCTACAAAGATTTTACCGGAAAAAATCTGAATAACCCGAAAACCCGAGAGTGAAAACCCCGAATTTTGTTGGCTCGGTTTGATCTTTAGATTTAATAACCCGATACAATTGGTTTGATTTGGTAATTATAAAATCCGATCCAACCCGACTTATGTACACCCCTACCCTAGGTTCAACGATTCTTTTATCTCGGAAGCTGCGGTTATCGAAAGGACGAGAATCCGAAAAGAGGAACAAGGGTCGAGTATCCGAAAAGATGAACGTACATATCCGAAGACTCAGTCAACCGCACCCAGAGATCCTGGCCATCGGATGTTATGATAGGGCTGTTCCCATTATCAAGAATCTCGCTCTCCACTGCCCAACTCCCTGACATGCTGGCTTGAAGCTCGGAGCTACAGTGTCTCCCCCACGACTATAAATACCATCGAGAGAGGGGCATCGTAAAAAAAGATGCATACTATAGAAATTTTTCAGTGATCTTGTTTACTTTATTTCGCTGTTAAACTTTGTTCAATATCTTGACGATTGTTAATGCTATTGCCTATTCAACCCGACGAGGCTCTCATCTGATAAGATTTTCATTACTCCTGCTTTTATTTATTTTATTCATTAGTGATGATGTCCATCTCATTGAAGAAGTATTAGGCATGTGCCTAATAAAAGTTTTCTTTGGTTTGGTAGCTAACCTTGTTGACTTGGTTTGGTTGGTAGCCAACCTTGTAGAATTTCTTTGGTTTGGTAGCCAACTTTGTTGAATTGTGAAAAGTGTGTGTAAATTGTCAAATATGGTAGGCTTTAGAGAGTGAAGCTTTGGCTATAAAAGGAGAGCTTCAACTCTCATTTCCATACACCAACAAAGAGAGAAAGAAAGAGTGAGGTTTCACAGACAAGGTATAAGAAAATAGTCTGTGAGGAAAATAGAGAGTGAGCGATATTGTAGTGAGGTGGGAATATCAAAAGAGGGTTATTTCTTTTGAGTGTTGTAGTGGTCTTTAGAGTATTTATCTCTGACCTACAAAGTGTAAAATTCCTTACTATAGTGATATCAATTGCTCATCTCGGGGTCGTAGTTTTTTTTCCCCTTATTCAGAAGGGTTTTCCACGTAAAAATCTTGGTGTCGTTGTTACTCTTTTATTCTTGTTAATTACCGTATCTCGGTGCTACATTATCATTCCGCTTTTATTACCGTGAATATTATTTTGGCAAGGGGTTTATTCCTAACAACTGGTATCAGAGCACAAGTTCTGCTCGTTCACTGAAATACTATTCACTGTCGGTAGTACTATACTTGGTGAAAAATAAAAATGTCAGGAGTAAAGTACGAGGTAGCAAAATTCAACGGAGATAACGGTTTCTCAACATGGCAAAGAAGGATGAGAGATCTGCTCATCCAACAAGGATTACACAAGGTTCTAGATGTTGATTCCAAAAAGCCTGATACCATGAAAGCTAAGGATTGAGCTGACTTGGATGAAAGAGCTGCTAGTGCAATTAGGTTGCACTTATCAGATGACGTGGTAAATAACATCATTGATGAAGACACTGCACGTGGAATTTGGACAAGGTTGGAAAGCCTATACATGTCCAAAACGCTGACAAATAAATTGTACCTGAAGAAGCAGTTATACTCCCTACACATGAGTGAATGTACGAATTTTTTGTCACACTTAAATGTGTTTAACGGACTAATCACACAGCTTGCCAACCTCGGAGTGAAAATCGAGGAAGAA